GTATTTTTGCAGATTTTTGAAGAATTGTTGTAAAAAATCTGCAAAATTTTTTAGAATTTGAAGTTTTGCACAGAATTTCTGCATTTATAGTATTAAATTTGAAGTTTTGCACAGATTTTTATTTGATTTATTATTTGATTTTTTTGCAAATCTGCACAAAACTGTAATAAAAAAATTTTCTGATATTGTTTACCTTTATGAGATATTATAGAAAAAGAAGAACAATAATAGTAAGTTTAATAAAAAAATATATTTAAATAAATATGCTTTAATTCCTATTTAGGAAGCTAATTAAATTAACAAAATCTTAACATGATAAAATTCTAATAAGTTAGCCATGTAAGTAGTGACTGGACTCATAAATTTATGATTTGAATAATTTGAGTCCAAATAATAAAATTTTTAACTTGCAAATACTTGAGTTAATTATTAATACATAATGAAGTTTAAAATAACTAATACACTTCACATTAATAATTTTGTAAACTACATAAGTAATGTCATAATTTTAATATAATTTTTTAAAATTTAAATAAAAATATATATAATTTATTGCAATTGCAAATTTTTAATAAAAATAAAAATAAGTAATATTATAATTTAGTGTAATTCTTTAAAATTTAGATAAAAGTATATGTAATTTATTGCAATTGCAAATTTTTAATAAAAATAAAATAAGTAATATTGTAATTTTAGCATAATTCTTTAAAATTTAAATGAACTATGTACATAATTTATTGCAATTGCAAATTTTTAATAAAAATAAAAATTTTAAAGATTTTTAAAACCAATTTCATAGTATAAACATAGTGCAAAGCAAAAGCACTAGTGAACAGGAAGAATTCTATAATAAAGTGAATAGTCAAAACACAACTACCAAAGGTAAATCTCCAAGCTTTGTCTGGAATTATTTTCAAAAGGAGGGCATGTCTTTCACTTGTAAAATTATAATAAATGATGAGGAAGAATATAGTACCTCATATAATAATGGTTCAACAACTTCAAACTTAATCAACCATCTTGCTCATAAGCATAGGATATTTAAAGATAGTTTTAGTTAATCCAGTGATATAATTATGAATTAATATATTAGAACTAAAAGTGAATATGAATTAATACAGCAAAATTTAATTTTATTTATTATTAATGATTCATAGTCATTTAATATTTTCAAATGTAGAAGTTTTCAAAAATTACTACATTCACTTGATAAAAACTTCTCAATTCTCTGCAATAAACAATAAAAACTGAAGTTAGTAAATTATTTTTTTGAAGCAAGCAATAGTTAATAAACTTAATAGAGAATGATAGTGTTGCTATGTCTACAACAATGAATTTTTGGACAAACTAGTACAATCAAGAATATATCTGAATTACATGTCCTTGGATTTATGAATCCTGGGAATTTAAAAAAGCTCTTCTTTTGCAACATGTTTTATACTCTTATACAGGTGAAGTTATTGCCAATTTGCTAAATAAACTTTAACAAAATAAGAATTAATTGATAAAATGTTAGCAATAACTACTGACAATAGGGCAAATGTAAAAAAGCTATCTAATTGTTAGGATTTGATAGAATTCTTTGCATGGCTTATGTTCTTCAACTTTTTGTTGGAAAAGAATTAAATGTAGTTAAATATTTAGTTTATATATAAAAAGATTAATTGACTTTTTTAATTATTTACCAAAATATACAGAATATCTTCTTATTGTGCAAAAAGACCTTGGATTTAAAAATTATTTATCAACAATTGGAGATATCTGTACAAGGTGGAATTTATTATTTTATGTTTAAAAAAGATCGCTTTTACTAAAAAGAGCAATAACATATCTTCCTTCACGGCTTCAGTCAAATGAAAATATAACTGTTCAAAAAGATGGTGAATGATTAGCATGTATTATACTTACTAATGACAAATAGACTTTTTTGGATAAATTAAATAATATCTTAAGTAGCTTTGAAGAGATAATAATATTATTAAGTGGAAATACTTATGCAACTATTTCTTCATATATCTAGCAATTTCAACATTAGTTAAAACTTTGAAATCATCTCTTCAACAATCTTATGTTAAATCTGTTTTAACAGATATTAATGAATTAACAATCCTTAATACTATAGATAATACAAAAGATTTTGTTAAAATTAAAGAAATTGATACTAAGTTAGGAATTATTCATAAAAAAATAGATATTTTGGTCCTATTAGTTACAACTAGAACTTTTGAAATATTTAAAAAAGTACTTTACAATAGTATATATAAATATTGGCACTTAGTTACAGATGTTGTCATTATAGCATGTTTGCTGGATTCACATTTCAAAAAGCTACACTTCACAAATATTAGTATAATTTAAAGAACAAATGAATATTTGAGACAATTATATAAAACAGAATGTAGTGTTTATATGGATTCTCAATACTCAGAATTTTCATATAATATTTAAGATAAAGATTTTGAAATTAGTAGAATTTCAAGAAAACATAAATCAATTTTGTCAGATTTATATACAAGTGATGATCAAATTTACAAAGTTGATGTATACTTATCTTTAGAAGAGGAGAGAAGACAAACAGATCCTTTTCATTGGTAGAACCTTAAAAATGACCAGTTTTCTATATTATTAAAAATTGCTCAAAGATATTTATATGTATCAGCAACTTTAGTCTCATCTGAACACTTGTTTTTAGATGTTGGGAATAATATTCAGCAAAATACACAAACCTTGATCCAGAATTGGTGGGTGAGATGTTATTTTTAATGAGAAATATAAATTTGCTGAATACAATATTTTTAACTAATTAATAATTAATATTCTAAATAAAATACATTTGCATTCGTAATTTGTAATTGTTAAATTTATTATACTTGCTTTATAATATTTGTACGTACAAAATTAAAATTATATTTGCTTTATACAACTTTCTATTTAAAGTAACTTGCAATTTATAAAATTTACTAATAAATTAATTACCATTACTCAAAATATTCTAAATAAAATATATTTGTATTCATTAAATTTTTTTTTTTTGATGTTAAGATGACTATTTATAATCTCTGGCACTTTATTGGTTTAAGCGGATAGTCAATGTCAAAAGACATCGACTACATGTTACATTAGTATTACGAAAGTACAACTAGTCACATATACAACTTTTGGTTGCCTAATTAAGTAGTCCACCCAAATCATTAGTGCTATGCTAGGGGTTCTACACTAGATGTCATACCTATACACAGGTTGAAATCAAAAATATCTTCCCTGTATCTTCAAATAATCGGCCTAGGTGATAGAAGGGTGATATTGTGA